ATACCAGGCCATTCTAACGAGCTTCTGCTGTGTTATTGTATTGTTACTGTAAGAGGAGCAAAACCAGGAGATTTTATAAATATCCTGTTTCCTCAATACTACATTCAGCAGACTCTTCTGCGTGCCAGGCATTCTAAAATGCATATCCATTCTTCTAGAAATAGGAAAATTAATGTATACTTTCTGTAACTGTCAAATGTAGGCAGTACAATAGAAAATTCTGAGAATGTTACTATTATTTGTTGTTTCTCTTTTAGGGGAAGAAGGAGTTTCAAGTATCGCTCTTTCAGACATTAGTATTGCTTATGTTTAATGAAGGAGATGAATTCAGTTTCGAAGAAATTAAAATGGCTACTGGTGTAGGTAGGAAGAATACTTTCTGGTTTTTAAATATATTCATCAAGTGATTGGCAATTATGGTTTGGTATGTGAAGGCCTAATTTTAAGAAATTTGTCATGATCATTAGGACAAACTTCATGTGCCAATAGCGTACACACACCAAAAGAGATGAGGAGAACACACTGCAGGTGTTTCTTAGTGTATTTTCTTGGTGTGTAAAATTGACCCTTCAGAAAATTATTAGTAAGAGCTGTGTGGCATGTAATACTACTAACAACCTATTAGATTTACAAAATGTTATCTCTGCAATTCTTAAAATATAAGTGGGGATAAAGACTGTTGTGTGTACAGATTGTTTTTGCTCCTGTTCAGATTCACATACTATATTTTGAAAATGATCTGTTGTAGAATGCTTTCACTTGGGGGTGATTTAAGAGTATTTTCAGTTGAGCTGTTCTGAGAGCTCACCTGCCTGTTGCCCTTTCTTGTTGCTGGGGTGCCCCTTGACAGCAGGTCTGGTTTGTTCAGAGCAGCAGTGTGTGCTGAGTGTGTACTCTGTAGCTCTCTGCCTCTGCACTTGAACCTGAAGGACAAAGAAAGCTGAGGAAGAGTACAGTTTTCTTTTTAACCGTCTGCAGTGTCTGTCTTGTGTTTTTATGTTCCTGGATGGGTTTTTTTCCATTCTTATACTCACTTAAAATAGTTATAGCAAAACACTGCTGTCATGACTCTCTGCAAGTTTTGCATCAATCAGCAGCTTGTACCCAGTAGTCCTTCACATGTTGAAACTTAAGATCAACCTAATACAGCAGTATCTGAAAGAGTATTTGAGCCCTTAGAAGTACTAAAATATTGTAATATATTTACTGAAAGACTGTAAAATGGAGATAGCAAGAATCCTTGCAGTTCAGAATGATGCATTGCAGAAGGAAGTACAGCCTGGGTGTTCCATTGTCTCAGTGTCAGTGCTTCAAGTTACTTAGTCATCCTCTCCCTTAAGGTAAGGGAGCTGAAGAAAATCTATGCCAGTGATAATAACCATCCGGATAGTCTGGAGAGGCTCATTAGGTTGGAGTACAATGTTTACGGAACAAACACAGGTTCATGCAAGCCTGATCCAGGTCCTGCTTTCTCATCTTGGATTGCTGTCCCTTGGAGCTGGCATTCTGGCTGCCTGACAGCAACAGATAAAATCTGCTGCATGGAAGTCCATTCCATTATAGCATAAAATAAGGAATTGAACAGACTGTTTTTAAGGCAGGTGGCTGGAATTGATAGTTTGGAGCTACCTCTGTGCCATTGCACTGAGCGCCATGTCTGTATTTCTCTCCCCTTTGGAGAAGTAGTATAAGTGGCAAGGACAGTTCATGTTCCACAGAGTTCCTGTGAGGCCAGGATGACTAGCATAGAATCACAGAATGGCTTGGATTAGAAGGGGTCTTAAAGATAATGCAGTTCCAGCTCCCTGCCCTGGGCAGGGACAGGTTCCATTAAGCCAGGTTACTCAGAGCTCCATCTAGCCTGGTCGTGAACACTTCCAGGGTAGGAGCATCCGGAACTTCGCTGGACAACCTGTTCTAGTGTCTTGCCACTCTGACAACAAAGAATTTCTTTCTAATACATAATCTATTCTGTTTCAGTTTGAAGCCATTCCCTCCTTGTCATGTCACTACGTGGTCTTGTAAATTTACAAGTTCCTCCCCATTTTTCCTGTAGAGATTAACTGGCCATGGTTGGAACTTGTGTTTTCCAATCACTGTTACAGTAAATCATCATCAGCCTCTTTCATGAGATTGTCCTTGGTACATTAGGACAGTGAGAAAATGCATACTGTTACTCAGAAAGAATGGTCACCTTCTCTCTGTGCTTCTTCAAGATGTGTTATCCAAATATATTCTGTGTTTTTGCTTGCCTGTCAAGGGAGCCTCTAGGAGCTGTAGTTTTTACTTCTACTTCAGAGACTGCTAGGTAATTGGAAATTTCTTCCCTTTGGCACACTGTAACCTGTGACTTCACATGCAAAGCTTCAGAGTGTTTTAACAGCAGCCCTGTGTTTGGACAAAAACACAGCTCAACAATCTGCATTTACTGAGGCTGAAACACACAAAATGTCCAAATGTCATAAATGCCAGTTTAGCCCACCTTGATTAAAGGTTTTTTTTTAAGAAATCATAGAACAGTTGGAAGTTTAAAAGAAGGAAAAGGTGGCTCTGTGTAAAAGATCAAGTATTTTAAAAATAGCAATAGTGTTAATCTTTTACTCAGCTGTACTTCAGCACTAGATTGCAAAACCTTTCTTTCAGTTTTTAGGCTAAAACTCTGTTCAGGAGATCCCAACACATTCAGTGATAATTTTATACTGTGAATAAAGTATTTTAGAGACTGCAGAGGCTGTTTCAATGCAAAATCTTGATACAATACTTTGCAACATAATTAGAATGTTTAAGACTTCATTTTATCTTGTCTAAATGCTTTTAGCCTTAAATATTACTAGATAAAATTTTCCTCACACACTTGTGTCTATTACTTTCCGGTTTTGGGTGAAGTTTAACTATAATAGCTGTCAGCTATACCCTCCCACAAAACTTCTTCCTGGCAATTTAGACTCCTGTATTTTTATTCTATTACGTATTTTTTGCTGTGTGATAAAAACACTGATCAGATCTTGAAATAGGTGGCTTTGAGTTTCTTGTCATACACTGACTTTTTCTTTTCTAAAGTCCTGTTACTACCACACAAAACTAAAGCAATAAAACGAAGTTTGTGTTATATGTGAAATCTTTTCTGAAATTATTTTGGAAGGAAAACTCACTGAGATGAGCCTAAATCTGTCTTTCTGATATATATAATCCTATGCATGCTCTCAGCATTTAACCTGTGAAAGACAAGACCAAGTTTGAAGGCTGTGAGCTACTTCTTAATTGGAACTTAGTTGAAGAAAGTATTAACATAAAACCACTGGCTTTTCAATTTATTTCTGGATTAATCCAATAAACTCTTGATGTTAATGTTTTATTCTGCTTTCTCCCACATTGAACTCCTTCACAGAGGACAGTGAATTAAGAAGAACCTTGCAGTCTTTAGCTTGTGGAAAAGCACGAGTATTGATTAAAAATCCAAAGGGCAAGGATGTAGAAGATGGAGATAAATTCATCTTTAATGGTGATTTCAAGCATAAATTGTTTAGAATAAAGATCAACCAGATTCAAATGAAAGAAACAGTACGTAATTTTTGCATTCATTCAGTTTATGTATTAACTGTTTATCTACATATCCCATAGGGAAAGACATAATCTCTTGTATTTTTTCCATATAAAAATGAATATTTAAATTCAAATTATAATTAATTTTTTAGTGTATTCAAGATGACTCGGGCAATAAAGACTTTAAAATCATTGAAACTGAAAACAAGTTAGGTTGCTTCCTATGCTTGCAAATTTAAATGGCTGTATATTAAACTAAAAGGATCTTGTAGATGTTTCAGTCCATCTTAGAAGTTTCTGTGGTATTGTGAAGTGTTGGTACTGTATTGAACTCTTGAATCAAATGTCACCATGTCACTTCTATATTTAGCAGATAAGAAGGCTATATAAGTCAGGGTTGTCCCTGATTCTGCAGTGAAAACAAACCTTTTTTGTTGTATCTGAATTTCCATTCTTGACACAAGGTGACATTTTAATTAACAGTGGCTTTTTTCTTTTTTGCCTTTGCATGTTAAATTCCCTGAAAGTCAAACTGGAGTTTGACACAAAACGCTGCTGTATTTGGGCTGTCAAAGCGTTATGTGTTCTCTCAAAAATCTTAAGGGAGTTTCTAAGATTTATTTATCAAATAACGTAAAATAAGACACATTTTTCCATTTACATTATCCTGAATTTTCTCTTACTTGCTTTAGCAGTACACTTCAGACATCACTTAGCCCTCAGAATGCAGTAATGCATGCATCTGTCTCAAGGAAGAATGCATGAGCTTCATTTTATTGCAAAGGCTAATTATAGAGATAGAATTAATAAAAAGTAGCAACAGAGGGTGATATGATTTGTGGTGCTGTATTCTTCTTTAGGTTGAGGAACAGGTCAGCACAACTGAAAGAGTATTTCAGGACAGGCAATATCAGATTGATGCTGCTATTGTACGAATAATGAAGATGAGGAAGACTCTTGGTCATAATCTTCTTGTTTCTGAATTGTATAATCAACTGAAATTTCCTGTAAAGGTAACACATGTTTTTGTTTGTCAAACCATCCTAGATTTATCTAAATATATGTAATATATGTTTCTATTCATCTTGTCTGTAAGAGCAAGAAACATGAAACATCATAGAATTAAACCCAAAGATGAAGGTATTGTGTGAACAGAAATAAGTCAGTGTCAGTACTATATCAATTGTATACCATGGTGCATTTCTTATGTAGCTTTTAGCAGTATTTTTTTAAAATATGTTTGCCTTTGTGTTACTAACTGTTATACTAATCTCATCTTTTCTTGTAGCCTGGAGACTTGAAAAAGAGAATTGAATCTCTCATTGACAGAGACTATATGGAGAGAGACAAAGACAACCCCAATCAGTACCACTATGTTGCATAAAGGAGAAGAAATAGTTTTATTTAAAAAAATTAAAAACCCTAAAAAATAAAAACCAAAATCATCCACATATATCTTTAGGACACCAAATACATATGCTGTTCCAGACTTTCCTTTTAGCAGATTTCAGGTTGATGTATATCATTCAAGCAGCTGCATGCACTGCTGTGGAAACGAAACAAAATGACATGTTAATGGATCACCTTTGTCAAGACTTCTTAATAATTTTAAATGCCCTGGGGGGTTTTTTTTCCCCTTAGTTGATTTTTTTGTTCTTTTGGGTTCTTCAAAATTTAGTTTTGCAGTTTTGTTTAACAATGTCATTGAAGTTGGATGGAAAGGTAAAATCACCTGTGTGAGAAATATTTCTGTCATGGATGCAAGTCTGGTTTCTTCATTTAGATGTTCCTAACTGCATCCACAAAGTCCCTAAATGCTGCATTCTTTTGCTACAGTTACAACTTGGGTAACTTTTTAAAAACCCTTCATTGATGAACATGTATGTACAAGCAGTGTTGTTAAAATGCACTGAAGTTTTGCACCATGAAAACCCTTAAACTTGTGTTTAGTTTTCTTCCAAGTTGCTACAAACTTCAGTCTGGTTTGGATAAATCAGGTTTTGAAGTGAGATTTTTGAAGTGCCAAGAGGACAACTGCATTAATGTGTGTACTGAGCTGTTGGATTATTTAGCTAAAATATGAATTGTTCTATTATTACTACTTTTGCTGGCTTGGGTGGCAAAGATTAGATCTGAGTCAACGAGGCCCTACCTCATTTTAGGGCAGCAGGTGTATTTCACTGTTTCTGTAATTGCTGTAACATTTAGTTTTGCCTTGAAAATAACATCCAGGGAACCTACTGTACAGCATGCTCCACTTTAAGAAAACAAAACCTTTTTTGAAAAAAATCCTTTTATGGTCTCAATATTGGGAAAGCATAGCTTTTTGCCTTGAAAGACTAAGGACTTTGTGAGTACTTTGTTACATATTGTACATATGTAAGTTGATTTGAATTAGAGTGAAAGACATTGTAGATCTGTTAGAGAACTGTAACTATAAGGAAGACACCTTTTCTGGTAATACTTGCAAGACTGTTTATTTTCCTGATTTGTCTACTGGTATGTTTAATTCTGAAAAAGAGCTACCAAAGGAGTTTTGATCACTACATCAAGGAGAATTTACCTGAGCAATATTTTCTTGAGAGATACCTTACTAAGTTTATGTAACGTGGGGTTTGTGCATCAATTAAAAGGCCACTTCTTAAAGTAAACAGTGCTATGAGGTGACAGTTTATGGAACTACATATTAAAAGTCCTTATTCTGTCCTCTGGTGTTATTAATTGTATTGCATTCTGAATTATTTTTGTTCCTTCTGTGTTTGGAAACTAAACACATTTAGTTTGTTGTATTTAAAGCATATTTAATATTATAATTTAATGTAGACTTATTTTAATATTTGAATCTTCAGTTAATGCAAATAAAATCTTTGATGCATATTAAGGATTAATTTCTTAGCCTTTGTGAGAATGTGGCACTTCAGTTTATTTTTGAGGTTGGTTTTTTAGTGTTGTACCATTCCTTTTGTGGTTCACTTTTTATGTATATGGAAACCAATCAGATCCATCTTACCAGACTTCTAAATCAAAAAGGAATATGTGCCTCACAGAAAGGTAATGGCCAGAGAGGCTTTATCCACACTGAGAACTGGTAGTAGTGTGCAGTAGCTGTTAGGAAGCAGTGAGAATGTACTGCCTGCCCCTTCTGAACCCAAATGTTCTGGTTCAGTGGCTTTAAACAATAGCTTAAAGCAGTGGTGTTATCCTGAAGATGACTGAAATGGTTCTGCCTCAAGAAGCAATGTTAATTAAAAGTGCTGAGATGTGCAATTTTTCTTAATTGTTACAGACTAAGGACTCTTTGGTCATGTTATTCTGGTCTAGCAATTAAAAATTAATTGTTCCACAGCAGTGGAAATTATGAAGCCTGTCTTTCTGTGCTCTATGCCCTTGGTACCCAACTGTATCATCCCCTGCAAATAACCTGAAGCAGCAGTATTCAGAGGGGTTCTGCCTTTCTGCTTGTGGGAGTGGGGTTTGTCCCTCATCCCACTGCTCATCTCTACCCATCCCCTTGCCCCCCTGAACCTACAGAGAATGTCATGATCCTTGAAGACTTTTACTCTTCCAGACTGATCTGCAAGTGGCTTCAGAGGTTCAAAAGCTTTGGGAGAAACTGACAGGCCAGGTAATTGTGACTCTCTTTCTCAGGTCCTTATTTTTAATTTGATTTCCTCAAATTTTTCTTTCTGGGACGTTCTATGTGCTAAACCAAAGAGGTAAGCAGTTATGAGTCAGCATAGAAATCACTTCTCCGTAGTGAAACAGCTCCATTTGATTGCTTTGCAGTAGCTGGTGATGGAATTTGGCTGAGCAGTCCGCCTCAATCAGTCAGTTCTTTGGGGTCACGTTGCCTGAGTGTACCTGTACTCACAGGGCAGAGGTTGTTAAATGTTTCTTCCTGGAAGATCACCCATTGTTGAAGATGTTGGGCAGTAGGAAAGTAACAGATGTCCTCTATAGAGCATCTATGTTCAGGTATGTCAGGGAAACCTGGATCTTGGCAATTCAGTGTCCTTAGAACAAACTGTATAGCAGCTTCTATGGAATGACAAAAATAACAGCAGGAGCCTGGATACATCTGGGGGCTCTAGCATATCCAAACATATCTACACTTAAAAAGCAATTTTCCTAAATGTGACAGGCTGTTATCTAGCCCAGCATTTCCTGAAGGAAAGTGTGTGTGGGAATGTAGGCTGGGGGCTGACTTAAAGGTGCTTCCCAAGCCTGGCAGTCACAGCTGTCCTTAGCCAGCCAACAGCCTCCTTTCTGCCCTCTCCTTGGGTCTTTTTTTTGGTTCCGTATTTTAGCTTTCCCTGGATTTCTTTATCTGAACCTGGGTTAAGCATTTAACTCTTGATCTGCTGCAGCTTTTTTCATCCTTTCTTTGTGCTATACATATTTGAAAAAATAATTACACACCTTTCAGGTAACTTCAAAGTCTCAATTTGTTATGCAGATCTATCTCTGCACTGCTCCAGGCAGGAGGGCAGAGTGGCTGGAAAGCTGCCCAGTGGAAAAGGACCTGGGGGTGCTGGTGGCAGCAGCTGAATGTGAGCCACGGTGTGCCCAGATGCCTAAAAGGGCCAATGGCATCCTGGCCTGTGCCAGCAATAGTGTGGCCAGCAGGAGCAGGGCAGGGATTGTCCCCCTGTACTCAGCACCAATGAGGCCACACCTCAAATCCTGTGCTCAGTTCTGGGCCCCACTGTTAGAAACACACTGAGGGGCTGGGGCATGTCCAGAGAAGGGTGTTGGAGCTGGGAAAGGGTCTGAACACAAGTCCTACAAGGAGCAGCTTGTGGAGCTGGAGTTGTTAAGGCTGGAAAAAAGAAGACTCCAGGAAGGGAGCCTTATTGGTCTCTTCAACTGCCTGAAAGGAGGCTGTGGCCAGGTGGGGGGGATTGCTCTCTTTTCCCAGGTAACAAGTGACAGGATTAGAGGAAAAGACCTCAAGCTGTGCCATGGAAGGTTTAGATTGGATACAAGGAAAAGTTTTTTTACTGAAAGGGTTATCAATCACTGGATCAAGCTGTCCAGGAAAATTATGAAGTCACTATCCCTGCAGGTATTTAAAAGACCTACAGATATGGTTCTTGGGAACATGGTTTAGTGGTAGGCTAGGCACTGCTGGGTTACCAGTTGAACTCAGTGACGTTTGGCCTGCTGTCGGCCTTTTCCAACCTGGATGGTTCCGTTCTGTTTGTAGGTTTACTGTCTTTGGCAGGTATGTTCAGGAGAGTGGACTCTGTACCCTGAACTTGGTTAGCCATTCCTTTCTCTTCAGAAAGGAACTAACTGTGTGAAATCAGGTAATACTCAGCAAAAGGCTATGGGAAAATGGAGTAATGTTTTGTGGAAATTCTTTCCTTGTAAAATCTCCTAGCCTGTACTCTGTCTCCCTTGTTTGTACTCTGCCTTGACCTCACAGGACAGTTTTTACTGTAGTAATGGCTCCTAACTCTCCTGGGTGTTTCCCATGAGCAGCCCATTCTGCATCCACAGCTCTGAAGAAAGGCCAGGGAGTGCATCGTGGTTCCTCTCTGGGCCTGTGAGCATGCTGGCTGGCCAGCAGCTCTGTCAGATGAGATGTGCAGTGGCTGGGCATGGACTACGTTGCCTTTCCCTCAGTGACAGCACGAATCTGGGCCTCCAGGCTGTGTATATAGCAGCTTTTACAGAAGCTGTAACTTCTTTTGTTTATGTCTTACCCTGCTACCATGTTTGATTGATGTCAGCCAACAAGTTACCAAGCAGTGGGGCTGATGGCCAGCACAGTTGTGCAAGACGATGCATTTGTCCAACAAACACCCTGGCAGTACTTGTTCTGAGAGGAGGTGGAAATTGATACGGTGCTGTCTCTGCACCATTAATACAGGCCCAGTGAGCTAATGACCCACAGCATGGAAGGTCAACATCATTCTCTGCTGATAACCTTATGTTCGTTATTTACCAAATTTTACCACACTATTGTTGCTTTATGCAACTTATATATATATTTAGGGATCATTTTTTTGTTAGCAATCCAAGCATCTGTCATTTTTCCCTTCATAGATGCCTACTGATTTTCCAGCAGGGAGGCAGAATACTGCACACCAAGTCAAGTTTAAACCTGACCTTGGGCCTCCCTCCCCATTTGTCTTGTGGCAGACTTCGTATTCCACAGACCTTACTCCACTCCCAGTGCAGGTTCCAAAAACAGTGATCCAAAATGAGAACAGCCCATGTCCCACCTCCATTACCCTCAACTCCTCTGCAGATGAGTCATTCAAACACCTGACCAGAGCTGCTCATTATGTCGTTTTTCAAACTAACTTCTGCTTTTGGCAATGCATGGAAAGAATAAAGGTTGCTAGAAGTGTTGTGGGGAAAAACAAACAAACTAAAATAATAGATTATTGTGTCTAAAAATGCACAGATAAAAATGCAGCATTAAAAAATAAATACGTATTTATAGCAATAGCATTGAAAATGAAAGGTAGATTCCCATGTCATCCTAAGGAGCAACTAAACTTATCCAGGATGTTTTGTGGAAACAGGAACTGTGAGTGAACTGAGACAAACAGCAAGGAAAGGTCAAGTTCACAGCAGCTGAACTTGAGTTTAGCAGCTGGGAGTAGCTAAAATTGCATTTCAAATGGGTTCAATGTAAAAATGTATGAAGGCAACTTGGGAGCAGAAATCATTCTGCCTCAGAGATGATTAATCTGGAACAGCCTGCAGTGAGGAGAGGGACTATACAGCAGTCATTGTGAGAAACAGAGGCACACTGCTATTGGCACACATTCCAATCGTACCAGAAACAGGATTGCAGGAGCAAGATACAGCTTCTGTGGTTTCAGATGGAGTAAGCACACCCCTAACAGTGTGCATAAAAGAGAGCACTGGATTACAACGTGATCAAGTTACCTGGGCTGTCCATCTCCATTACAGCTGAGAATGTTTACAAGCTAACTTCACCTTCGATTCTGGTTTTCTCAAAAAAAAAAAAAAAAAAAATTCCTTAACAGCCATCAGATATCTGAAGCTATGTGAAAGTGCAATTTTTACCCATGTAAACGCACGTCATTAGCAGTCCCTGTTTTGTTTTGGAACACATGTGACTCATGTACACCTGGGTATATAGAGATAGAACACTTCAGAGACAACACACCATCAACTTCCAATGTTTTTATACAGCTGGGACTGAATTAATTGTGAGACAACTGTATTCACCTTAGATTGCCTTTAGACTCAGCGGCACGAAGCACATTCTGGAGGCAGTACAGAGCTCAGCGGGGTTACCGGCACCCCAAACCCGCTCCCCCCTCACACCGGCACCCCACAGTCACCCCCGCCCCTCACACCGGCACCCCACAGTCACCCACGCCCCCGCACACTGGTCCCGCTCTCGCGAGATCCACCCCTCCCTCACCGGCGCTGCCCCGCGCCGGATCACGTGACAGACGCCCCGCCTCTGACGTCAGCGGTCACATGACCGGCCGGGGCCGTCGCCAGAGCGCCCCGAGCCGCCGCCGCCGCCCCGCGCCTGCCCTCGGTCCGTGCCCGCTCCCGCCGCGCCCCGTCCCTGCACCCCGACATGGCCCGGGGGTTGCTGACGGCGGCCGCCCTGCTCGGTAAGGGGGGTGGCGCGGGCGGCCTGTGCGCTCGGCGGGGTGGCGGGGGCGGGTCGCAGCGGCCTGAGGTGGCCCCGGGGCTGGCGGCGCTGGACGCGGCACCTGTAACTGGAGACCCGCCCGCCCGCTCCCGCCTGCTTCGGCCTTCCCGGGAGCTGACTGAGCCGCCGGGGCTCTGGGGGGCCATCCCGCCCCTCCCCGCGCCGGGCCCTGTGGCGGCCGGGAGCCTCCGAGGGCCGCCCGGGGTACGAGGGCGATGCTGGGCGGGAGGCGGCGGCCGCCGCGCTCGGCGCTGAACCGCGTTAGAGCCCGGGAACGCCGCTCCGAGCACCTGCGTTGGGTGTAGGGACTGCGCTCCGGGAAGAGCCTGGAAACGCGCCTGGAGCACGAGGCATGGAGACGCGGGAGGTACTGATGTCATTGCTAGGAAGCAGCGCTTTTCTGTAGGGCATGTAGTGCTCCGTTGCTTAATGGCTTTCTTCCTGCCCTATCTTGAGTAAAATACGAAACGTGTCTGGAATAGAGAGATTTCAGTGCCTTGATGAGAAGGTTTGTTAGGTCAGCAAGGCTGTTATACGAGGAAGTGTGTCTTGCTTGTTTACCGATAACTACCTTGCTTTTGGTTTCTCGTCTTGAAAGCCACATCACACAACGCTATCAGGTTTCTGAGCTGTGGCTTTGGCAGCAAAGGAAACTTGTTCTGCAGCTGGCCAGAATATTTCTCAAATAGAGTAGCAGTTGAGAATGCTTATCTGCCATCATTTTTGAGCTGGGACGGTCTTGGCGACTCCTGTAACGTCTCTTTGGTAGTAAATATGGTTATCGCCATTGACCGTGCTTCAGTTTCACTGAGCCCAGACGATGCCGCTCGCAAAGGGCACTGAGCAGTTCAAATATCCAGCCCTCGTGAGCCAGTGCAGCAAGCACAGTGATTTACAGTGCTCCTGCTTTTTAGGGCTGCCAGCTGAAGCGTCGTTGAACTGGTGTCGTAGTGGGAATTACTGGAATAGATTGTTTGATATACTTATGGCTTAAATGAAGAATTGCTTTATAGTTTGCTTTCAAATCCGCTTTTGTGATTTTTATGTGGTACCGCAGTTAATACTTTTAGCCATTATAGTAGTCTTCCTCTGCTTAGCTGGCAGTTACAAACATAATTCGGTGCACTGTCACTTTCTGGCACGTGAGATGTGTTAGGTTTCTGCAACTGAGGCAACAGAATAGTTTATTTTACCACAGATTTATTTTGTTTTTATTTATTTTTATTTACTTTTTCTTTAATTTACTGGTAGTCATGACTTTGTGCCAGTGTCTAGTAGCTTAGTAGCTGGGTGTTTCTGCATAGCTTTATATGACAATCTTGGGGGAAGATCTTGTGGTGCAAATAGAGACCCCTTTCTTGCTAGAGTGTGTGGTTTGGTTGTAGGTGAGGGGAGAAGAATAAGAGATAAAAATAATAAATGAGCTGAAGTCTTCTTATATTTTAGCTCATTTGCAGCCTTTTAATCATTCGAGTTAACACTAGTTAGGATAAGGTCATGATCACAGGAGACTGAAAGATTAGTATGGGTGGGGCAGATGTGAAAGCTTGTTTGGTGATGCCTTGACTTCAGGACAGCAGAATTTTTTTTCCCACCTGAATAGCTCACCATACCTCGCTTAGTGTTTCACTTTTCTATTTAGATTGAGCAGCAAGCACTAAGCAGAACGTTTCATGTGCCAGCTTTGAGCATTTTGTAATTAATTTCCTCACCACCATCAAATATACATATGGAATTAAGAAAACATTGAGGTAGCATATGGTACATGTGGGGAAAGGAGGCTATGGGAAATGGAAGTACCTCTCCTAAACTTAGCTGCTGCTTTTTGGAATACTGAGTAAGATGGTGCTTGCCTGTTGTTGAGCATGATGAGTCAGTTGGGTTGTGTGCCAAGCCCAACCGAGCTGCTCGTGCTCTCTGAGATCTAGAGCACCCGTACATTTTTTTATTACTGAAACACAAAGAGAAAACATTCCTGAAAATTTAAGGTTAGAATCAGACATGTGTAAGTGAATAAGTAATGAAGTGTTTGAGAATTGCAGAAGGGAAAATTAGTTTTTCAGAATAGTGTGGTGCCATTTCAGAGTCACGGACGTATAATCCACGTGTTTCTATTGTGCAACTCTAGTCCAAAGAGGAATTTAAAACCTTGCTACCCATGTAGAGATAGTTGAGAAACTTGATAATGAATCAGTGAGAAATCTGGTGCAGAATTGTTTTTTTCAGGTTTGGCATTATTGGGTGTTTGCAACTGAGACCGGTATAACTTGGTTTTCACAAAATCTAACTGCTTTAATGTTGAGCAACTTTGGAAATATTCTTTTACCAAGTGCTGCCCTTGACATAGTGTTTGCTTGATAGCTGCTTCAAGTGTGTTGACACAGTCTCTAAGGATCTGAATTAGTGTGCCAGTCATCATGTGATAGGTTACTTGGCTTTGACTTCAGCAGCTTTTCTGACTTGTGAAGTAACTTCTTACTTGCTGAGAACTCTGCAGATTCTCTGACATGCCACTTTTGAGTTATGTTTCCAAGGATTCTGTTCAGGCTGACCAAGGAGTTAATTTTTTTGTGTAACCTGCTTCTAGATTCTTCTGTAGCGATTAGGATGTTTTCTAATCAGTAGCAGATGACGAGGTGAGGAATTGCCTGTAAGTACTGAGGAACCTGACTCAAAGATTGATACTCTGTTGCAACATTAACTGCTGTTATCTCTGATAAGCCTTTGTAGGTCTCAAAGATAAAAGTTTATTTCTAGCAAAAGGCAAACCTTGCTTTTGCTTGTTTCAGCTTCAACAGTTTGTCTTTGCTCTCAAGTCAGCCGTGATTATTTGGAAATTCTTTGAGAAAGCTTGGGGCTGAAATGGATTTCTTGGTATGTGTTCTCTTAAGCTTGGCAGAAGACACTTCTGGGCATATGAGTGGTGGGAATTACAACAGCCATTTGAACACTCCCTTGCATTATCTTGATTCTATATTGCATACTTTTAAATGTACCTTATGTTTTGGTAAATCAGGATTCCACAGTTTTTGGGCATCTGACTTCAAGATGGACTGGTGTCCCTTTCAGTCTTAGTATAACAGTTTCTTAACCTTCTCTGTCCCTTGACAGCACCACTGACTGTCAGTACTACTTTTTCTGCTGTTAATTCCAAATGTGAGAGTTTTAGGTGCACCCTGGCATTAAGAGTACAGAGTTTAAATGTGCTTTGTCTCTGTGCAGTGGGTACTTGTTCCCTCTCCAGTGTTCAGCCTTGAGCACAGCAGTTCATAGTTAATACGTTTGGTTTTCTTGTATTAAACTTCTGATGATATCTATTTTCTTAACAAGAATTCACTCTGATATGGGAACACCTGTGTTCTTACTTTCCTTGACAGGATTAAGATCTGCTTTGTAGGACTAGGAGAGTGGTTTTACTCAGGCAGTTTGTTTATTTCCAGTATCCTCTCCTCTGGGGAAGCTTTCTCTTTAAATTGTCACACAGTGCTCCTTTCTTCAAAACATTGTTTGGGGCTCGCAGCTGCCCTGAAGAATGTGTGTTAGTTGTGTGGTGTGATACAGCAGCACTAACCAGAGCCAGTGCAAAATGGACTTGTGTGAATGCTGAAAAGGGTCTGGCCAGGGGAGTTCAGCTCTCTCAGTGCAGTCATGCAATCACTTGCTGTAGAGCTATCCCAAGACTTCCTTCCTTTAGATAGGAAGCTATAAAGAAGTTTCATGTGACTAAATTTGATGCAGTTGCGCAATTCTGTGGTCAAATGGCAAGTGTATGGCTGTTAGGTAGTCTTTCTTTTCTATTGCTTTTGTACTTGTATAATTTGGTTTATAAAGACAGGAGTTACTAATCTTCAAACTGAAATTGAAAAACAAAATGTTTACTGCCTTAATTGAAGTAAACAATATCAAAACCATAATCTGAGATTACATGAATTTGTCTCTTGGTTGGCAAGGATGCATATTCTGGGCTGAATCAGGAACTTGATGTAATCAAGTGCTGCACCTCCTCAAGGGCAGCAGGTTCTCTTATCCTTGAATTAAGCTCTGCTCTCCCTTTCCCCACCACTGTGTGGGTATTCAAGTGAGTCCAGCCTTGTCTTTTCCTGCCTGCTTTCCAGGTAGCCAGCATTCAGTATCACCAATGTGTCCATTGGTGAAAGGCCAGTATAACTCATAATTTTATAGAGACCATCTTGCTTCTTGCAAAGTGTTTTGTACATCAAGCCTGTCACGGGATTTTCCTACTTTCAGTTGTTCCTGTCTTTTTCTTCCTGTATTACCCTGAGGTGGCATAGGTGCTCAGTCCTAAGGAAGTGATCTTGACTTGGTCTTCTGATAAATGACTTGGACCTGGTGTCCCTATGGGAGTGGTGCATGCATTGGAAGACAGAGCATTGTAGGAGAGTGTAACTCCTTGGGGGTTTTTCCATTCAGTTCTCTGGCATAGATTTAGGAGTTAAAAGTGGTGACTAAAGTTACCACTGTTCACAAAATGGCACTGAGATGACAGGATCATTCTGAACCATCAGAATGAGTAAACTACTGGGCAGTTTACTCGTCAGAATGAGTAAACTACTGGGCAGTTTGGTTAACATGTACAATAGAAAATAAACCTTCTTTAGATAATAACCAGCATTTCTTATCTCCTTGGGTTAATGCCCCACAGATAGCA